ACCTTGCTGTACACTATGAAAAATCACCTTGCTTTTGCATTTAGATTTTCTCTCAAATATGCTTTTGAGTATATTTTTTTTATCCATTTATTTTTTTGCTACTATGATACTGTTTTAATTTCAGCCATTTTATAATTTCTTTTTTTTTAAATATTTTTATTGATTTTTTTTTTTTTTTTAACAGAGAGGAAAAGAGAGGGATAGAGAGCTAGAAACATCGATGAGAGAGAAACATTGATCAGCTGCTTCCTGCACACGCCTTACTGGTTATGTGCCTTTGACTGGAATCGAACCCAGGACCTTTCAGTCCACAGGCCAACGCTCTATCCACATAGCCAAACTGGTTAGGGCTTGAGTATATGTTAATATAAGTTCGGGGGAGTACGTAGAAGGACATTTCTGCTGGCTTTGTAAGTCAGGGAAAGCTTCCTATTGGAGGTGACATCAGAGTTCTGAAGACAAAGCGCTGTATTAATATTTACATATTTCCCCCTACAGGTATTTGATTCCAAATGCAGGAGATGCTACCAAAGCCATAAAACAACAGATCATGAAAGTGTTGGATGCTTTGGAAAGTTAATATAAAAGAGAATTAAAAGGAAATTAAGGCAACCAAGAGAAATATGGACATTTTCTTGACTGAATACTAACTGGAGAACTTTCATTTGCTCATGTGGATATTTGAAAATTTTAAATTATTATAATCTCTGGACAGTTAATTTTAAAATTTTTTCCTTTTGCATTTTTGGCTTTGTAAAATGATTACTTACAAAAGTCACTTATTAAGTGACTTTGAAGTAACTGACCCTGTGCCCTTATGAACTAAGGGAGCAGAATGCAGTTCTGTTTTGAAGAGCTGTTTTAAGGGAACATGCATCACTTTCAGATTTAAAAAACAACCATACACATATATATATATATTTGCAATGTCTTCACTGAAAACTAGAGAGAGAATTAGTTGAAGAGAGCCTATTAATTGCTAATTTGGTTTTACCCACTGAGCAATATCAGTAACTAAAAAATATTACATAGCTTAATAATTAGTTTGCCGTTTCTGTTCTTAAAAAGAGTGTTATCTTTTCAATGAAATGGATAAAGATTCCAGCCAACTCAGAAAGTCAGTCCAGTAATAAAATGTTGAAACATCAGTTTCCAAACATCTTTGCACCATTGGCTAATAATTTGAACATGAGTGCTTCAGATACTAAACTTCATCCTAATAGTTTCAATGGAGCAGTTAAAAGCAATATATATAAGTAGGCAGGCATACTAAGATTACAATTAACATTTTGAGGACAGAATTATATCTGTACAAATGTCATTGGTCTTTATTACAAATGCAATACTTGACTTAGGGTATTTAAGACAGGTGTTGAGCACACACTGATTTATCCTCAGTGAGATTATGGTCTATGACCACAAATATCCACTTAAATAAAAGCCAAATAATCAGAGAGCTGTATAAACTATAGATGTTTTTATCATCACCTTCTGAAATTTCTCTTCTTTGGTTTTTGTTTTGTCTTACAAAAATTCCAGTGGTTTCAAACTATTTTTATTCTCTTAATATGACAAAACTGTAAAGAGATCTGCTTTATTTCAAAGCTTCCTCAACTTAACTTATTGAGAGATTCATATTAGACATGTTAGGTGAGAGAAATCCAAGAACACATTTGAGGATGTGGAATAACTTCTTGTAAAATCTGGGAAATAGCAAATCCTAACAATCTTCCTTGTTTTAAAGTGTAATGGATTATCTCAAAGGGATTGATAGGAGAAATATTTAGACATATCCTGTTTTCAGATAGTAATTTTAATTTACTTCATGGAAATCAAGTGAATAAAAGGCAGCATATGTCATGGTATTTTGATATTTTATTCTAATTAAATAAAAAGTTTACTTGAGTGGTTGAAGACATTTGCATGAAATTGCTCCTGGTGCAATAATTGATATTTATAACTCTCTCCACAACTGTTATATTGCATTTTTTTCTTTTCTTGGCATCCCTTTGGAAATGTCCTGAAGTCTCATCCCTCCACCCCCATTCCAGATATGGGACTTTTTACATAACATTAATGTAAAGGTGTTCGTGTTAATGTTTATAAATCACAGTTGTAAATAAACCAATACAGTTTGCGCAAAACTTTGTTCTTAATGACAGTCTCTCTTTTTCTTCCCTCCTCCATTTTTAATCTTTATAGATATCAAAAAATTAGGAAATTGAGGGCCATTCTTTAAAATTTAAATGTTTAGATTTGAAAGTACAGTAAGCCCTTAATTTTAGAAACCCAATTTAACAGACTTTGGATTTTATTTACTAGAGGCCCAGTGCATGGATCTGTGCACCAGTGGGCCCTTCAGCCTGGCCTGCACCCTCTTACAATCTGGGACCCGTTGGGGGATGTCGGACTGCTGGTTTTGGCTGGTTCCTGAAGCGGCAGGCAGCTGGGGAGGAGCCCAAGCCCATGAATAGAATTAGAGAACCCAGAAATCGACTCAAGCCACTACTTTTCCTTGCCCTTAAAATTGATTAAAGGTGGGCTTTTAGTGCCATCCAGACGAATTGCCAAAATACAGGAAACACATGCACTTTCGTAAGCAGTGGAGAGAATGTACACTAAGGAGGCCTGTTCAATTGTTGTTTGAGATGATTGGCCCATAAACACTGCAGTTTCATCCATAGCAATCATGTTGGAAAGATTGTATTTAGAGAAGTCAGCATCATCAATAAAGGACTTGAATGCAAGTGCTCACTTAATACTTGAGTATCTTCCAACCTAAACAATGTTGTAGATCTTCTTAAAGACAGTTCACTTTGCTGAAGGAAATTATCCAACCAGTGCTGTGATGCTTCGAAGTCTTCCGGGGCTATGTTAAACTGTGATGCCATTGCAAGGGCAAATTCTCGAATCTGAACCCTATTCACAACCAAAGCCTTTGCTCTCCTGTCAACAACCCATTCACAGATCAGGTCTTCCAGCTCGGAAAATAATGGTTGCCGACCTGATCCACACTTGTGCTTTTTAGCATTTCCCTTGTCCACTTGTTCAATGAGGTTACCATACTCTGCTCGCCATTTTCGGACCAATCAGATACTCAGCATCTTCTCTTTGCAGAAAGCAGTAAGATTTTGGCCCCAAAAGTCTTCCACGATTCCTTTCTTGTACTCCATGGAGTAGCTTTTTCTCTTTGCACTCATTTCTAGGGGTAAAAAAAAGGAATTCGGGTATCAAGGTGGGGGGAGGGGGATCACTTAAAATGACGGGGAATCAGAGGGGAGAATCAAAATGGCACAGGAAAATCAGAGGGGGGATTACCATTTTAGTAACCCCTTTTGATCCTCTTGTGTCATTTTGATTGCTCCCTCTGATCCTCCTGTGTCATTGTGACTCCCCTCCCCCCACCCCTGTGCCACTGAACACCTTAACCAGACATCCCCCCTACCCCTTTATCAGACATTTACCCCTGGGGCCTGCCTGGGGACTGTCACGGGTTGCTGGGGCCTGGATCTGGGCTGGAGCAGGGTCTGCCACTGACAGAACCTTCAGTCATCATGAGGGCGGCCGAGAGCATCAGCTGGTGTCACCAGAGACAGACCAGCACTCACCATCTTTGCCGTGTCCCATCTGCTCTAATCCTCCTGTTCTTCTACATGCATCTGCGAAAGTCTCCTCCTCTCTCCCGCCCCGGGCTCACTGCTCACTCAGACCTCCACTCCGCCTCCACACAGCAGTGACGTCAGGACTCCGCATAATGTCACTGGTTGCCAGTCGGGGCGGCCCTAGCGACCAGTTTACGGTAAATTAATTTTCATTCTGAGACAGCCTAGGGGGGGGCCTTATTTTCGAGGGGATGCCTTATATTTCACTCAGAAGGAACCTGTAAGTAGGTCTTATTTTCGGAGGATGTGTTATTTTCAGGGAAACATGGAGTATATCTCAAGAAACTAGAAACACTAATCAGAAAGGATATATGCACCATCATGTTCATAGGAGCGCAATTCACCATAGCTAAGATTTGGAAACAGCTTAAGTGCCCATCAGCAGATGAATGGATTAGAAAACTGGCACATCTACACAATGGAATATTATGCTGTGGTAAAAAAAGGAGTTCTTATCATTTGCAACAGCATGGATGGACTTGGAGAACCTTATCTTAAGCAAAATAAGTCAGTTGGTGAAAGATAAATATCACATGATCTCATTTGTGGAATATAATGAACAACATAAGCGGATAAACAGAGACAGAGAAGCATCGATCAGACCATCAAGGGGATGATGGAGGGAGGGGAAGAGATCAAGCAAAGGACTTGTATGCATGCATAAGGGTCTATCCAATGAGGGCATAAGTGGAGGGGGGTGAGCGGGGCAATGGGGGAATAAGGTCACATATGTAGTAATACCTTAATTAAAAACAATAGAACACTTGATGCACTTAAAAGAATAGCAAATTTTTATTTTATTTTAATTTTTGATCTCTAAACTTGACAAAAGCACAAACAAAACACAAAAATCAAAGAGCAATCCTGGCGAGTGAGTATAAGTGGAAAAATTCTAAAACAACATCACCAAACAGATTTCAGTCCATTAGAGGCCTGCATTGTTGAGGATACTGAGTTTGAACCCTCAGTGGATCTCTCTCCCTCCCTCATCAGCTACCAGCCCTAGCAGTGAGGTCCCACTAGGCCTGAGTGCCTCCCCCAACCTGGCCAGTTCCGCCCCAGTTACCGCCACTGGTTCACATGGCTCCAGGCCATCAGCTCACGGCCGCTCCCAGGCACAGCGCCCACCCCGCCCGCCGCAGACTCAGGCCCTGGCTGAGAGGTGGAGGCCGGTCGTTACACATTCACCAGCCGCTTCCCTCACTCCGGCCGCCCCGCTGGTCCCTCTGCCTCCGGGGCGGTCCTCTCCTGAGGGCCGTGCTGTAACCCCGGTTCTGATTGGCCCGTTGGCGCCGACAGCGAGTGAGGGACAGGAGTTGCGGGGGTCCAGCAGGAAGCCCCGCCCAGTGCGTGATGAGAGGGGCGGGGCCTCGGGCGCTCGCCCCGCCCCTTCCGGCGCGGCTTGGCCCCGCCCCTCCCGGCGCTGCCTGGGTCCGTCCTGAGGCTGCAGCTCCCCGCGGCGCGCATGGTGTACCCCGGGAGAGCCATGGCCAGTGAGTAGCGCGGCTTCGGGAGCGGCGCCGGCGAGGGCTTCCCGCGCCGTCCGTGACCTTCCCTGTCCCGGGTCCGCGGGGCTTGAAGAGGGGGCCGGAGCGCGGGCCGGCGAACTCGCGGGTACCGGCTTCCGGGGGCGCGGGCGGGGCGGGGCGGCGGGCCGGCGCCTGCTCCCCCCGGGCTCCCCCTGCGCCCCGCGGGGCAGAGCCTGGAGGCGGGTCCCGGGGCCCCTGCGCGGGAGCGTGGGCGCTCCTGTAAGGTGCAGGCCCCGCCCCTCAGAGAACCTTTGCGGGGACCCTCCGCAGTGTGACAGCCGGGCCACCTCGGGGGGAGCCTCTGCCTGCGGAGTTCCTGGAGGCGGACGCTTTGCTCCCGGGGCGGAGGAGCAGCGGGATGGCTCTCACCCTTTTCACCTGAGGCTGTTTGAACTTGAGTTTTGCGATGGCCTGAGCCCAGTCACGTGAAACGGAAGCACCTGTTGTCTTCGATTTGGGCTGCGATAGGACTGGATCCTGCGCTCCACGTTGCACCCGCCCCCCAACTCCTGAGCCAAAAATTGGGCAAGTCGTTTCTGCTTCTGGACATTGAGCTTAGCGGTTGGGTTATCGCGTGTTAGTTCCACAGCCCCCTCCTGGGTCGGCCCCAGCGCGGAGTTTGCCCCCAGGCCTGGGCCAGATTTCTTTACACCATCAGTGCGGTGCCCTGGACTCACAGCCTGGAGACCTGGAGCCTCACAGTCCTGGCCCAGTCAGTAACTTCCCATGCCAGCGAGACATCTAACCTGGTGACCTGTGAAATGGACAGGGCGTCTTGGGAGGCCCCCGTGAGATGATAAGGTGTGGAAATTCGTGGAAGTGCTCTTTGTTTTTTTATTTCAACCTAGAGTGCAAGTTGGTGGCTGAACGATTGTTCAGGATCGTCATGTGGGCGTCCTTTCACACACCTCCCTCTGGATGTGACTGCATCGTGTGAGAGGCAGGCATGACAGAGGCTGAGGTGGTTCTTAGTGGTGGCTGTCTGACTAAGTTGAGGAGTTTTTTCAAATCATATGACAACCCCCCCAAAACAAACAAACAAGGTGCCCATCTTGCGTTACTGTTCCAGATTTGGGCTTGGATTGTTACTCTGCCACTGTTCACTGACTGCAACTTTTGCCTCTGCAAGCTTCCTGTTTCCTTATTTACAAAGTATTCTATGGTCCCATGTTGGTCTTTGCACGTATTATGTGTATTTTTCCCTCTGGGTAAGTCCTTCATTGTTAGACTAGGTCACAGGCGTCTTCAAACTACGGCCCGCGGGCCACATGCGGCCCGCAGAGGAGTCTGATCCGGCCCGCCAGGTTTTTTGGGCAGTGAGCGCAGCCGAGGTGTTACAGTAGGAATTAGTAGTTCATATAGTCCGGCCCTCCAGCTCTCTGAGGGACCGTGATCTGGCCCCCACTTTAAAAAGTTTGAGGACGCCTGGTAGGATGACTCTTAGGGCAGCCAGGGACCTAGGAAATCATTGTATTTGTATTTTACAGCTGAGGTAATAGCACTCCCCAGGGGTGAATTGCCCTGCTGCAGTCCCCTCTGTGGAGCAGGCGGTTTGTAAAATGCAAGCAATCCCAAGCCTGATTCAGGAGCTGCCTTCTGGGTAGGATGGGGGAGAGGGAAGCCAGTAATAGCTGTGTGGACTTCAAACCCCCTCCCCCATTCCTCTGAAGCAGAGACAAAGCCCAGCTTCTGAGTTAGTGTGGAAACCTGTAATGGTTTTGGTAGTGTTCTCAAGGTATTTGTTTGTCCCAAAGTAATCCCAGCTTTTGTTCCCTAATTTAGTTTCCTTTGTTTTCATCCAGATTCTGAAACTGTTTAACAAGCTGCATTCAGGGTTAAATTGAGCTCTTCTCACTTTATAAACCAAGGAATGCGACGTCTGCATTTTCCCTTCAGGGTTAACTGCGAGCCAGACAGGCCTTCATCAAAGGCCAGGTCTGTCAGCCCTGCCTCTTCCCAGGACGTTTGCACAGGTTCAGGACACACAGAGTGCGTGCTCTCGTGGTGGGGGTTTCACACTGTAGAGCAGGGGTGCCTAGGGAAGCCAGGGCAGGGCATTACTGCTAATCCTGAACTAGCAGCCTCACCTCAGACCATGAGCAAACACTGGGTATGTCAGTCAGGGTCCACACAGGACACAGAAACCACACCAGTTACTTGAACAGGGACAGTTTTATATAAAGAATTATTAACCACTAAAAGGTGATTACTATAAGAGCTAAAAGAGAACTCTAAAGAATATAGGAAAGCAAGTGTAGGGTGTAGCTACCACCTCACGGAAGGAATAAGCCCTAAGACTGACCGCAGATCTGTTGGCAGGGCTGGCCACATAATTTGTGGGGTCCAGTCCCCAATAAAGATGTGGAGCATTGTTAAGATAGCAGGAAAAAGTGCTGTCAGCTTTTCCTTTGAAGTGTCTCAACATCTCATGGTGGTTTTTATTTGATACTTAATGTTGTGGTCCTCATCTACACTAATAAAAGAGAAAGATGCAAATTGGCTGTACCTTCACGATGCCCACCAGCCAATCAGGAGTGAGTATGCAAATTAACTCAACAAAGATGGCGGGTTATTTTGCATACACAAGCACCTGGCAGCTGGGGGCGGGATGCCTGCGTTGTCACCATGGTGATGATGCAGGCATTCTGCACCACCCCAGTCGCTTTGGGTCTCTGGGCAGCATGGGAAGGCTGAAAGGCGGCTCCAGTGCCAGAGCAGAATCAGTGCTGACAGCCAGGGGAAGGAAGACCCATTCTTTTTTTAAAAATATATTTTATTGATTTTTTACAGAGAGGAAGAGAGGGGGATAGAGAGTTGGAAACATTGATGAGAGAGAGTCATCGACCAGCTGCCTCTTGCACACCCCCACAACTAAGGTACATGCCCTTGACTGGAATCGAACCCGGGACCCTTTAGTCCGCAGGCCGATGCTCTATCCACTGAGCCAAACCGGTTTCAGCGGAAGACCCATTCTTACATGAATCTTCGTGCATGGGGCCTTTAGTATTAGCATAACCAATGGACACAGACACTGGGGCGGTGGCGGCTTACCCGGAGTGTGAATGGCTGGGGAGAGAGGGGGGTTGTGTCAATTGGGGGAAAAGAAATATGTAAAATTTTAGACAATAATAAAAATGTTTAAAAAGAGCAAAAATGTTGCAGTCATTTGGGCATAGGGATATTTATGGGGTGAATACAGACCCTCACAAGTGCACAGGAGCGCTGCCCTGTGATTAGGCACATCTGCAGCCCACCAGCTGCCACCCTCGCCCTCCTGTTCGCAGATGCACTTAGGGTTGAGTCCCAGGCCCTAATGAGGAACTTGAGTCAGGTGTCTTCCCTCCTCATGACCCACTGCCCCATTCCCAGTGGGATTTCACCGTCTGTACTGGAATGCCCTCAGTTACCCAGATAAGGGGTAGGTGAGGCCCAAGATCAAATAGTAAGGAATAGTTGTGTATTCAAACCTAGTTGTCTTCCTTCAAGCCCTGTTCTCATTTTAAGTAAAAATCTGGCCCTGCCTATTTCACTTCAGGCTCTTGTGCGTGGCATGGGGCTCTGCCCATGGCAGTTGCTCGCCAAGGTCTCTCAACATCACCCTGCTTGAAATTTTGGACTGATAATTTGTTGTGAGGGACTGCCCTATACATTGTGGCAGGTTCAGCAGCATCTCTGACCTCTTTCTGTTAGATGCCAGTAGCAACCCACCAGTGTGACAGTCCAGAATGTCTCCAGACACTGCCGGATGTCCTGGCAGGCGGCGTTGTCCTCGGGTGAGGAAAGCTCCGATTCAGCAGTCCGATCTTCTGACACATGTTTTCTCTTCTTCAGCTTTCCGCTTGGCCCTCATCCAACTTCAAGTTTCTTCCGTCAAATCGGATAATCTCAATCGAGCTTGTAGCCTTGTCCGGAAGGCAGCCGCCCAAGGAGCAAAAATAGTTTCTCTGCCAGTAAGTATGGAGGAGCCACCCCTTTCTGGGCACGCTGGGCCCCACGGAACAGCGTCTGCCAGCTCTGGTTTTCCTCTTGTGTCCGGGGCCAGCAGGGCCCTCTGGGGGCCAGGATTGTGTCCTGATTGTCGGAAAGATGACCCTCGCAGGGGCCTCCGGGATAGGACGTGCCCATGCAGTTACAGGTCCTCAACAGGAGGGTCGCCTACTCTGCTCAGAACCCTCGTGGGCTGGAGGACTTACCTAAGGCTGAAATACCCCACCTCGGACATTTCCCTTCTTTCCTTATATAGTTCTTCTTCTTTTTTTAATCCTCTCCCCAGGGTATGTTTTCTCTTGATATTCAGAGAGGGGTAGGGGAAGGAGGGAGGGAGAAAAAGAGGGAAAGAGAGAGGGGGGAGGGAGAGAGAGAGAAAGAGAAAGAAAAACATCTATGTGAGAAACATTGCCCGTTTGCCTCCCATATGCACCCTAACTAGGAATGAACTTGCAACCCTTTGGTGTATTGGACGACACTCCGACCAACTGAGCCGCCCAGCCAAGGCTCTTTGTATAATTCTTTTTTTTTTTTTTTTAATATATTTTATTGATTTTTCACAGAGAGTAAGGGAGAGAGATAGAGAGCTAGAAACGTCGATGAGAGAGAAACATGGACCAGCTGCCTCTTGCACACCCCCTACCGGGGATGTGCCGGCAACCAATGTACATGCCCCTGACCGGAATCGAACCCGGGACCTTTCAGTCCGCAGACCGACGCTCTACCACTGAGCAAAACTGGTTTTGGCTCTTTGTATAATTCTTTATAGGACCAGGATGTACTGATTTTATAGCTACACCTCCAACATTTAAAAAAACTTTTTTTGAAAACTTAAACTATTAGAGACATTTAGAAAATCTTTCTAAATGTAGAATTCTGCATCTCTTTTCTAGGTGATTTCTTTTAAAACAACCAGCTGAAGCTTGCACCACATTTGCCTGCCCTCTAGTAGGGGGTTAGCTCCAGAGAAGGATCCCGCAGGGTCAGTGGTGGAACTGTTCTGGACAGCCCTCCTCCCCTCTCCCGCGCTGGGGAAGAGGCGGCCCTTTGAAAACCCTGTCAGACTGGCGGGAGGATTCTCAGGACTGCCCGCACACTGGGCCAGGCCATCACAGATAAGGCCAGTGAGTAGGAATCTTTAGCAGGGGAGCTCGAGATCTTAATGTTAATCCATCTTCGCTTGCACTCCTGTCCTGGGACTCACCTGGACTTGTACCCTAACGTGGCCTGTCGTTGGTTTGTGCTGCTCGGGCATTAGAGTTGAAGACCAGGAGTGAAGCACTTGAACTCAGCTCTGCTTCTCTGACATGCGTCTTGTACAGGCTGTCAGCCTGAGCTCCTTGGCATAGTGTGCGGAGCACAGGCAATCTCAGTAAATGCAAGGCGAATGAATCAGAGTCAAAGTCTAGCGGTTTTGCTTTTCTTTTATGACCGAGCTGGGGAAGACAGATGTGTCCGGGGAATGAGAGTCCGCTGGGTCAGGATGCTGGTGCTGGAAGGGAGCTGAGAAACCGCTCATTTTACAGATGGGGAAACGTCTTAACTTCTGTGGCTTTCGAAGCTTCTGTATTTTTCCAGTCGCAGGCTTTATTGCTTTACATAGTTGATGTAATTTTGAGCCTATGGGTTCATCCTAACGAAGTCCTGAGAGGGAGCCCGTGTGGTGGCCTGGGCGCCCTGGGAACGTGCAGCCCTCCTGTCCACTCGAGGGAGAGGCCGTTCCCACCTGCCGAGATGACCAGGGTCTGGCTGAGCACAGGTGCCTGTCTCTTCTCAGCCCGCCTGAGCCGGTGCTGACACTGGCCTGTGGCTACAGGCTCTGCAGCCCTAGAACCTGAGAGAGAGAGAGAGAGAAGGAGAGAGAGAGAGAGGTGTGTGTGAGTGTGTGTGTGTGTGTGTGTATGTGTGTGTGTGTGTGTTTGTGTGTGTTTTAACCCTTTCAGAGCAGAGCTGGAAGCAGCGGCTCTGTCTTCTTACAGTAGGACTTTAAAATGGGTTGGATGTTTTGATGTTTTTTTTCTCTCTGCTAACATTGTTCTAGGAATGCTTTAATTCTCCATATGGCACGAGCTATTTTCCTGAATATGCAGAGAAAATTCCCGGTGAATCCACAAACAAGCTCTCACTACTAGCAAAGGAATGCAGCATATATCTCATTGGAGGTAACTTCCTACCCTTAAGGTATAATGGTGGGACATTGAAAGCACATGGATAATTTTTGTTGTTGCACTTAAACCAGGGAATATGAATTAGCCATTGAAAAGAATGAGGTAGGTCTAAATGTAGTAAAGGGGAGAGCTCATCCAGACATACTGTGAAGTGGGACAAGAGTAGGTTCAATATGACATGAACAAATACTCGCATTCATATTAATCCCACACACAAAAGGTTGTTGATTTTCATATGTGGTTTTGCATGTCAGACACAGTCAGTGTTGTAGAAGGACGCACACTGAACTGGTAATGATGATTTTCCCTGGAGAAGGAGTGGGAGCGAAGGCACAGATGGAAGTATAGAAAGAAAACCATACCTGAGTGTCTTTCATTTCACTAATACAGGGTTAAGAAAATTGTTTTTCTTGTGCTCGCTTCAGCAGCACATATACTAAAATTGGAACGATACAGAGATTAGCATGGCCCCTGCGCGAGGATGACACGCAAAAAAAAAAAAAAGAAAATTGTTTTTCTTAAAGAGGCTCCATACATCAAGGTAGCTTTATGTGGTTGTAAAATAAATTATAAAATGTTCTGTTTGCTTAAAAAAATCGGTACAGTAAAACTGTTTAATAAGGACTGCAAACAAAATTATTTCTGTATTATGCTACAATATATTAAGAATTAGAAATGAGTAAGAGGTGGAAAAAGAAGGCAAAGCAAGAGGAGGCAGGACTGGGAACCACAGTCAGTGACGGACAGACATGTGGCTCCATGTCCGTCTGGAGGCCCTTGTGGATGCAGGTGTATTGCAGGAGGGCCTGGTGAATTTAAGTTGAGCAGCAGTGAATTCCCCATGTTGCTTCAGTGTTTCAGATTAAATTTTGCTCAAGATCAAAGCTAAATTCAGATATTTTTGAAACTTTAGCATCTGACCTAGTTATTTACACTCCGGAATTTATCTCTGAAAGATTGTATTCAAGAAGGAAAACAACTGGTTAAGTGACCCTTACAAGATAGTAAACTGTATTGTTAGACATAAGTGACAGTTTATCAAGCCGCTGTCCAGTTCCAAAAGATTGCTTTGTTCAGAATGTTTTCTGTGCCTGCCGTCTTTCTCCTCTCAATAAAAGGTTCCATTCCTGAAGAGGATTCTGGGAAATTATATAACACCTGTGCCGTGTTTGGGCCTAATGGAGCTTTACTGGTAAAGCACAGAAAGGTAAGTAGGAAATGTGCCAAGTCTCATTGCCTCTTGAGAATTTACTATGAAGTCCCCTGTTTCTTCTCATTGTATTGTACACACATCAGGCATTTTGACTGGGTGGCACATTTGGCTATTCTTGGATTTGCATTTTGATATAAACTTTAGACTTGGCCTGTCAAAGGGCAAACCTGCAGGAATTTAGTTAGGATTGCATTGAATATATAGAGATCATTTGGGGAGTGTTGACATCTTGGCAGTAGTAAATGCATGTACATTTACGATTATTAAGTCTTCCTGGTCACGTCATTCTTTTATTGTTATGGAATGTCTGTTCTGCTTTTCTTTTTCTTTTTCTTTTTTTGGCCTTTGTAATGCTCTCTTTCTTGAAGTTTATTTTATCTCTGATAATACTGTAGCCACTCTTCTTGTACTTAATCTTGGTGCGACTTTTAATCTTTCAAGCTATGTATGCCTTTATTTTTTAAATTTGTAGGTAGCATACAGTTGGGTTTTGCATTTTTATTCATTCTGACAGTCTTTGCCTTTTAACTGGAGCAATTACTGCATTTATAGTGAATACTAGTGTCCGGGTGCATGGATTTGTGCACATTGAAAGGAAATTAATTAGAAGTAATATTTTAATATTGCTATTCATGGCTTTCTTGTGAAAAGAAAATAATATTCTACCAAGACTCCTATCTACCTACTCTAGGACTTCTGTGAGGATTAAGTGAAATGAAGTACGGGAAAACGCTTCACAAACATTTGGTTGAACTGTAAAATGTTTGCCCCTGGCTATAAAACAAGTTGTGTTCCTGGGCTGAGGAAACTTCAGGAGGTTAATTGCTAGGGAGAGGAAGCCAGGTCTTGCTACATGACGTCATTACCTAGTGCCCACAGTCACCATTTCCAGGCTAGGCTGGGTTGTGGACACATCTTGTGCCATGGAGTCTTGGCAACATTGGCTGTGATTTTATGGGGTGTCACTCTGGGGTGGTGATGGGGATTGTGTCCCTCTTTGGGGGGAGCAGAGTGTTGGTTTGTGGGTGCCACGTCTGTGTTGCCGTTTATTTTTAAATGGCCAGTTCGTGTCATGGCAGCTTTAGCGTTGAGCATCTGTTCTTTGGTGGTCAGTGCACATCATAGCTACCATTCAGCAGGACAGTCTTTTATACATATAGATAATTATTAATATGGAAGGATTTAAGCATATAGATATTTCACTGTTTTTCCCCCATCTTTTCTGCATCTTTGGCGTTGAGTATTTTTTAGAATCCCATTTTGTCAATTGGCTTTTAAATTATACCTCCTCTGCTGTTTTTGTTTTTGTTTTTTAAGTTGTTGCACTACGCATGACAATATGCACCCTTATCACAGTCTACGTTGAGTTAATATTATATTACTTCATGTGAAATTTCTAACCCCTTTTCATTTTTAAACTATGGTTGACACGCATATTGTGTCTACATACATTGTAAATCCCACAAAGAATGTATTTTTAAGGTAGTGTGTGTTTTAAAGAAAGGAAGATAGAAATCTTTTGTTTACTCACATATTTACCATTGTTATTTTTCTTACTTTCCTGAAGATCCTAGTTCTATCTGATATTTTTACCTTCAAAAAGGAAGACCTCCTTTCGCTTCTTTGTAGTGAGGATCTGCTAGCTATGAATTTTCTGACTTTTTGTTTATGAACATCTTTAGTTTGCCTTCATTCTTGACAGAGATTTTGGTGGGATAGAATTCGGAGTTGACAGTTTTATTTTTTCCCCAACTGTTGGAGAGACCTTTTTCAAATACCTTCTAGCCGCTTTTTTCTTTTTTTCTGATTAGTCAGTGGTAACTTGTATTATTGTTCCTTGTGTGTAACTTGTGTTATCTTCCTGCCGTCAAGATTTCCCTTTTGTATTTTTCAGTGGTTAATATTTTGTCTCTCATGTGCCTAGGTGGGGTTTTTTTGTATGTGTCGTACTTCATGAAACTTTATATTTACGTCTTTCACCATATGTTGGAAACTTGGGGGCATGATTTTACTATATATAGTTCAGTCCCATTCTCTTTTTATAGGATTCCAGTTTTGATACTGTTCCTCCAAACCAGGTCACCAAGGCTCTGGTTCTTTACTTTCCCAACCTTTTTCTTTCTCTTCTTCAAATTGGACAGTTTCCACTAATCTATGTTCTGAATCTTTCTTTTGTAATTGCCAATCTCCTATAAGCCAATCCAGTGAAATGTTTAAAAATTTCAGATACTGAGTTTTTCAGTTCTAAAATTTTTCAGTTCTTTAAAAAAAAATTACATATATATATATATATATGTGTGTGTGTGTGTGTGTGTGTGTGTGTGTGTGTGTGTATAAAATTGATTTCAGAGAAGAAGGGAGAGAGAGAGAGAAACATCAGTGATGAGAGAGACTCATTGGCCGGATGCCTCCTGCATGCCCTACAATGGAGCCCGAAATCCAGCATGTGCCCTGACCAGGAATCGAACTGTGACCTTCTGGTTTATAGGTTGATGCTCAATCACTGAGCCATGCCAGCTGGGCTCATATGGTTCCTTTTTATAGCTTTTATTTCTCTACCAATATTTCTATTTGTTTAATTCATTATGAGCATTTTTTTTTTCTTCATACTCTTGAGCTTAGTTTCAATAGCTGCTTTAAAGGTTTTGGTAATTACCACATCTTGGGCATGTTGCGGTACTATTTGTACAGTTGCTCTTATGTGAGTCACCCTCATATCTGGCCATGGACAGATTGTGTTTATTGCCATGAACTCTGCTGGGAAAGAGGTAACTGAAGCCTGTATTTGTGCTGCAGCTCCATCTGTTTGACATTGATGTTCCTGGGAAAATCACATTTCAAGAATCTAAAACATTGAGTCCTGGTGATACTTTCTCCACATTTGAGACTCGTACGTACCAGATAAGTCCACCTCCTTTTGCAGTCCCAGTAAAAGAGGACCAGGTATTCCTTTGTTGTTGTTTTTTTTAATTATTATTATTATGCCCCTCCCTAATTTTTTTTTTTTGTAATTAATCCTCACCCCCAGGATATTTTTCCATGCTTTTTAGAGAGAATGGAAGAGACCGAGAGAAAGAAGCATTGATGGGAGGGAGATACAATAATTGGTTGCCTCCAGCACTCACCCACATCAAGGCCAGGGATCCAGCCTGAAGCTGAGGTACACGCTGTTAACTGGAATTGAACCCGTGACCCTGCAGTCCGTGGGCCAACGCTCTGTTCACTGAGCCAAACCAGCGAGAGCTCTCCCTAGTGTCTTTACATAACCTGGCTGAACGGCCAGACGTGAGAAGGGCAGAGAACAGTCAGAGATCTAGAAAGGGCGGGCTGAGTGGAGAACTAGGAGTTTGACATGACTTTGCTCTTCCGTTTGGTACAGCCTCCTGTCGGTGGGATCGTTTCCGGAGTGTGCTTGCTAGTCCACAGTTGAGCACCTCTCACTTAGAGAATAAGCATTTACTTAGAATGAATTTCTCATCTCTGCTCTGCTGACATAAATGATGTCTTTACGAGGTGACAGCCAAGCAAGAATAAGCTTACAGACCTTGTCCACCACGGGCCCTGTGTCGCCGTGTCCCCATCAGTCAGTGACGTTAGCTCAGGAGGCTTTACCCTGGCACCGTGCTGCAGGTTAACTGTCATCTGTGCGTTTTCTGTCTGTCAACAGCTTACTGCAAAGTGGGCCTGGGCATCTGCTACGACATCCGCTTTGCAGAGCTTGCACAAGTCTACGCGCAGAGAGGTGAGCAGCACCGCCGTCGTGTTGTGTGGGTGCCTGGAGGGTTGAGGCTGGACAGAGGGAGCCCTTAGTCGGAAAAGCTGGAGGAGAGGTCTTAACCTCTCCACCCCTGACGGCCTTCTCAGACTCTTGCTGCGAGTGGACAGTGTGGTTTTCCAGAGGTTGTGGTTTAACACGCCGTGCGGCTAAGGCAGGAGCCAGACTCTTACACATCTGCTCTACCCCTCCAGCCCTTCCTGCTCCTGTGTTTGGGAAGAGTCCCGTGGAGCCCAGTAGCAATGAAAACATGTCTGTCCCTCGTGGATGTCACCGGGCCACAGTCCTAGATGCTGGGTACGGTGGGAATGTAGTCAGTGACATTTTGGTGCAGATGAAGGTGTCCTACCATCCAGCACCAAACAACATCAGAAGATCTGGTTCTGGTTCCAACTCTTTTCCTACCTCAGTGGTCGGCAAACTGCGGCTCTGGAGAAGCGGTTTGCCACTTCGTTGACTAATGAGTTTGCCGACCGCTGGGACAGAGGCTTCGTCACAAGGAACAACTACAACCTGTGATTATTGGAATCAAGAGTCTAGGTCAGTGGTCAACAAACTCATTAGTCGACAGAGCGGCAAACCGCGGCTCGAGAGTGTGGCTCGCAAGCTGCAGTTTGCCAACCACTGAACTACCTGGCATGGTACTTTGGGTGAATGGTTTCATTTCTAGAGCAGTGGGGCTCCCAGTTTTCTCATAGGGATGCTGTGAGGACGAAGGAGAGAGAACTTACTAAAGCTCCTTGTATGGCACTCAACACACATTAGCAGCCCTGCTAGACTGTCGGAGCCACTCTGATTCTGAATGAACTCAGCGCAGTGAGGTGGATGCAGCAGTTCGCCTGCTCTGGGTCGGCAGTCTTTGCAGTCTTGCCCATGAGCCTGGAAGCACCCGCTCTGCCCCTCATTTCAGTTGAAGGGCGTTATGGAACGTGGTCCTCGGCCATGCAGAGCCACCTCACTGGTGCCGAGAGAAATCTGAATGATAGTCGTGTCATCCCCCCCGCCTCCTCCCCACTTTTTTCTAAGTGAACTCACATGTGGTTTTGGTCATCAATACCAGTTTTCTCCTGTGTCCGTCTGCACCATGCGAGTGTCTGAGGGAACGCAGAGCCATAAGCTAATGCTGCTGACACTGTCTGACCTGGCTGACATCCTTTTATGCGGGGGGAAGTGGGAGCTGGGTCCCCACTGAGTGGAGGACAAAGGAAGGGGCCAGGGAGTTGGGTGTTCTCTGCACAGATTCTCGCCTCCCTCTCCCAGGCTGCCAGCTGCTGGTCTATCCCGGAGCCTTTAATCTGACCACTGGGCCGGCTCACTGGGAGCTGCTTCAGCGAGGCCGGTAAGACAGCATGTCAGCGCACCTGCCGGCATCTCAGTTTCTCTGTGGGAAGGTTTCAGGGCGGTGAAGTCCCAGCCTTCCTGGTACCGAATGGTGCCTGTGACTCAATTCCGCAGCATCCAATCGCATTTCAAATAGATGCATCTTTTCGTCTTTCAGCCCAAAGGGAAGGCTTCTGCTGGGAACCTTCTCTTCAGAAGCCAGAGTACCAACCGCTTAGATTTTTAAAAAATATATATATTTTATTGATTTTTTATAGAGAGGGGGAGAGGTTTGTGGTCTTCACACAGCTGACCCTGTGCTGTTTGATTGGGTGCTTACCCTGCCCCGACTTCCACAGCAGCCTGCTGGGCCCGGGATGCTCTGCCAGGAACCTCGCTATGAGCCCTTGTCCTGCTGACCTCTAAGCGCTGGGCCTTGCTCTGATGGGTCCCAGTTGCTGTTTCCTTAGCCCCCTGAGGCTGAGCAGTGAGAGGCAGGTAGCAGGGGGATGGAACATGGAAGGGAAAAGGAGTGTAAAGTGCTCTGCAAACCATGAAATGCTGGTCAGAGACAATGTGTTTCTTTTCTTTTAAAAAAAATATATTTTATTGATTTTTCACAGAGAGGAAGAGAGAGGGATAGAGAGCCAGAAACATCAATGAGAGAGAATCATCGATCAGCTGCCTCTTGCACACCCCCTACTGGGGATATGCCTGCAACCAAGGTACATGCCCTTCACCGGAATCAAACCTGGGACCCTTCAGTCCGCAGGCCGATGCTTTATCCACTGAGCCAAACTGGTTTCGGCGACGATGTGTTTCTTGATTAAATGTTTTTGTTTTATGTGTTTAAAAAAAAAAAAAAAAAAAAAATATATATATATATATATATATATATATATATATATATATATATATATATACACACACACACACACATACATACACACACACACACACACATATATTGATTTCACAGAGGAAGAGAGAGTGAAGAGAGATGGAAGCATCAATGAGGAGAGAAAATTGATAGGCTGCCTCCTACATGCCCCTACTGGAGATCGAGCCCCAAACCTGGGCATGTACCTTAACTGGGAATCGAACCCTGACCACCTGGTTCATGGGTCAATGCTCAACCACTGAGCCACACTGGCCGGGCTTGATTAAATGTTTTTTAAATTGAGGTTAATACACTTACAGAAAAGTGCACTAACTTTGCCTCTACAGGCAGGTCAGTGAATGTTGACATATGTACCACCTACAACCAAGATCAACTTATGGGACATTTCCCAGTCCCTGGAATGGTCCCTTTTGCTCCTTCCTAGTCAGTGCCCTATCCTCTCTGCCTAGAGGTGGCTACTGCTCTCCCTTCTAGAGATGATGGTGATTTTTTTCAGGGCGATGTAGAGGTGTTTGCCTGGTTGCATCGTAGAAGGTGGGGTAGGGGTGTGTGTTACCATAAATATTAATAAATGCAGTGAAAGGGGAAAGCAAGAAAAGCTTGGATCTATTGTCTGAGCCCAGAGAGCTCCCAGGTGAGGTGGCTTGATGTACCCAGGCTGGATCCCTGAAATTCTGATCCACCTTGAGAGATGGCACGGCCACCATTGGCATGGAAGTGCCATACAGCCCTCACCGTGGATTGCCCCCTCAAGGGCCCCTTGGCTTGCATTAACCCCAGAGAAGTTCTGTACTGGTTGGCTCAGGCCAGAGTCTGGCCACTGGCAGTGTTAACATTTTGGACTACATTGTTCTGTGTTTTGGGGGGCTCTCCTGTAGGGTGGTTAGCATTTCCGACTTCCACCCACTGGATGCTAATAACAACCCCCTTAATTATAACAATTTAAAAATCTCCAACCCGGTCGGTGTGGCTCAGTGATTGAGCTTTGGCCTATGAACCAGGAGGTCACGATTTGATTCCTGGTCAGGGCCTGTGCCTGGGTTGCCAGCTCTATCCCCAGGGGGGGTGCAGGAGGCAGCCAATCTGTGATTCTCTCTCATCATTGATGTTTCTAGCGCTCGCTCTCTCTCTCCCTCTCTCTCTTCTCCCCCTTCCTCTCTGAAATTAACAACAATTTTTTATTTTATTTTATTTTATTTTATTTTTTTTTTTTTTAAAGAAAGGTCTCCAGACACTGGCAAATGTCCCCTGCTGGTCCAAATTGCCCCAATGAGAACTGGCTTAAGTAATAAGATGGTTTTTGAAGAGAGGGTTCCGTGGCTTTGTGTGTTTCTTCTGTATCTGAGCCAGCCTGTCCTATCGTAGTTTTTAAAAGAAGGATAGGATAGGAAAGTGCCTCAGCTCTGAAATGCATGACTTCCCTGCTTTCTGTCCGTGGACTGCAGGGCTGTTGATAACCAGCTGTACGTGGCCACGGCCTCTCCGGCCCGCGACGACAAGGCCTCCTACGTTGCCTGGGGACACAGCACCGTCGTGAGTCCTTGGTGAGTGGCCCGAGCGGGGACAGGCTCGCCAGGAGCTCGTTGGGCGGTGGGCTGTCTGATTGGTGACCGGCCCTGCCCTCCCCCACCGGCCCGGTGCTGCCTCTCCTGTGAGGAAGCTCCCACGGGAGGAAGAAACGGCCCGCTCTCCTGACCGAGCCGCCTTCGCCCTCTTCTGGTTTCCGTTGTCAGTCTGACTGGATCGTGGGGGACACACGGCAGCAGTGATGGGTGTCAGTTTTAGTGAAACAGGCCCCCAGCTCCCGGCTTTTGGTTAAAATTTATTTAGACTGGGTGACTCGGCCTCAGGCAGGAATGAGTTACAGGGTGAGGATTCTGCTCCCGGAATAATGAGAGAGGATGGGGGATTCAGTAAGAAAATGGAGTTTGTCCTCTGAGAGGGCGGAGCATTGTACTGCTCAGTGGGACCAGCGTGAGAGTCCGCCATGTGCACACGCTGGCGGGCGCTGCTGCGCGGACCACGGTCTCCGCCTGCAGCCGCACAGCACTTACATGTGGTCTCAGTGCGAACGCAGGGACTTCCCTTCGGTTTGTAGATGGTGGGGTTGAAGTTCACAGGCTAAAGTGGTTAGAACTGGTGTTTGGATCCAGGATTTTGACTTCAGAACTTGGGTTTATGCCGAACATCTGTATGATCACACACACGCGCGCGCACACACACACACAAACAGATACGAATCTCTACAATTTCAGGATGCTCAGACAAGGCTGAGAAGGGACCCTGGTCATGTGGGGTCCCTAACGCTTCTGTCTTCGGACTCTATAGGACCCACAGATTAAAGCATGTGATAAGGGGAGTCCTTGGAAATATGACCAGCAAGAGACTCTCCGCACATCAGGATTTGGGGGTCGTTGGGAAACTGGAAGGATTAAGGTGGACCGAAAGTTTTCTCAGACGTGATTCACGTCCCTCTGCCCAGATGTTAGGGCTGCACCTCTGCTTCGCCTGGCTCTGCTGATGAACTCTGGTGCAGGTTAGGCTGGCCGCTTCTGACAGCGGCTCCACAAGGCTTACCTTCAGGTCTTCCTTTTCAGAATTCCATTTGTAGGGCTTGGGGGCCTTCTGACTTACATTGACTTTGGGATAGTTGTCTGGGATTAATACAGAGAGAGCTTTGAATGCCAGGGAAAATGAGGAAGAAAGAGAAAAAGAATAGAAGAGGATTCAGTTAAGCGGCATCAGTAATTGTGTTTGTAGCTCATTTGTGCCAAGTCTGTTTGCGGCCGCCTGGCGGACGGACCCAGTCACAGTGTGTGAGGCCAGGTTACCCTGTGCTGAGCTTTGGAGGCTGCACTCACGAGGTCTGCGCTGGAAGCCCTGCTTTGGGCTGGGCGGCGCAGGCCAGCCTTTCCCCAGGCTTAGGAAGGAGTGTTGTCTCCTAGTGTGGGCTCACACCCACGGATGGAAAGAGGGCCGCACGGCTCTGGCCATGCCCAGGGCCTGCCTCGCCACCCAGAGTCAGGGGCAGCCCCGGCAGGGCTGACGAAGCAGAGCCAGAGCATCTGGTCGAGGACGCCTGTGGACCCGCACTCCTGAGGGGGCAGGGCACCTCCTTTCGGCTATAAGTGGCTCCGGTCCAGACGCTCATTTCACGGAATAAGAAAATCAGGAGTTTGCAGTTTAGGAAATATACTCCATAATTTTCTAAGTCCTAGCAGAGCTTTTATTTCCACTTTATAATTTATTAAAAGTGACTTGGCCCAAGGACGCACAGCATTTTAAATGGTAGAACAGGAGTTTGTAGCCTTCCTTTCTGGTTTTAAATCTCAGATTCCTTGCCCCTTGCCCCTTGCCCCTTGCCCTGTCAAATGGGGAGAAAAAACGGAGTTCTTGAATGTCAGTAAATGTCAGTGAACCCACTCATCTCCCCTGAATCTTTTCCAGGGGCGAGGTCCTGGCCACAGCGGGCCCTGAAGAAACGATCGTGTATTCAGACATAGGTAAGGTCTGCTGGCCCAGGGCGGGGTGAGGTGTCTGGCACCCCCAGTGCCTGAGGCCAGCCTCCAGAGGGGGGCAGCCCGCCAGCTGCAGGAGTTCCTCTCCCCCTCCCCGCCCCTCCCCAGTTTATCCTTCATTCTTGGTCAGGTCTTGAAGACTACAGTTTATTTTGAGTTCTTTTGGTTTGGTTTTAAGTGACTCCAGGGGCTGTGCCAGGCCATCTGTGCCTCTAGCAAGGCCTATATGACTGAGTTCCTTGGCTGAGACTCTGGTAGTTTTTATACTGTTTGGGAGGAAAAACCCCTTTTGTTAGTGAAGAGTTACTTCTTGCTAATAATACACATTTCTGTTTTTGCAGACTTGAAGAAGGTGACTGAAATACGCCAGCAAATCCCCATCCTTAGCCAGAAGCGGTCAGACCTCTATGCAGTGGAGGCGAAAAAGCCCTAAGGTTTATGTTTCAACGTGTCATTAAATAGGAAGTTATGTTTCTGCAGTATCAATTCCCTGCTGAATTCTGTAATGGGGAGCCTTTTTATTGGTTTGTTTGTGATTTTAGCCTGTGGAGACGATGGACCTCCAGCACACTGATACTCCCCGCACCATATCAAGTAGGCAGAGAGGACCCAGGCTGGGCACTGCAGAGCGGAGGACAAGGGGGTGGTCCTAAGCCTTATTCTGTGCTTAAATCACCTCCAGGAAGTTGGTAAAAGTATGAGATTTGGGTATTCTTGTGGTTGGTTTGCCTGATATAAATGTATTGGTGTCATAAACCTCTTATCTCATTGCTGGAGTTGGAATCCGTTACGTAGGAAGTGGGAATACTCTTTCCAGCAGAGCCTTCGAGTTGTATTGTGGGTTTGTGAGTGGCTGTGGGAAGCAAGGTGATGGGTCCTTGGTGTTTGCGAGGGGAGGTGGCAGCCCCTGTAGCAGCCTTCAAGAAAGAGCTAAAGAGTCAACCCCAAACTCTCAGGTCTTAAGGGCAAGACTGTGTCAACAGTGAGGCCTGTGGGAAGATGGCAGTGGAAGCATTTGGTCAGGCAACTAAAGTATGTCTCTGCAAGAGGTGTCTTTTTTTAAGATTATCGATTTATTTTGAGAGAGAGAGAGAGAGAGAAGCATCGATCAACTTGCTTCCTGCACCCCCCCCAACCGGGGATCTATCCTACAACTCAGGCATTGTTTCAATCAGGATCCAGCCTGCAGCCTTTCAGTGCCCAGGGCCATGCCTAACCAGCCGAGCCTCCCCAGCCAGGGCAAAAGCGTTTTTCTCGATAGGAATAAGTGTCTGAAAGTCTCTCTTGGTTTTTCTCTCTAGAAATACTTTTTACCTTGATAAAGGCAAGCTTTTAGCCTAATGGTTCTTGGAATTCTTTGGGGCAATTATAAATTAAGAATTTCAATAAGCTGTGATGTATATACTGGAGGCCTGGTGCACAAAACGAGAAGGGTTCCTCAGCCCAGCTGTACTCTCCATTCAGGGACCCCTCGGGGGATGTCCGGCTACCCTGTGGGATCGGGCCTATATTGGCAGTCGGATATCCCTCTTGCAATCTGGGACCGCTCGCCTGCCTGCCTATCTGCCTGATTGCCCCTAACTGCCTTTGCCTGCTGGCCTGATTGCCCCTACTTTGCACCCTGGCTGGCCTGATCACCCCTGGCTCGACCTCCTGCCAGCCTGTTCGCCCCTGCCTTGCCACCCTGCCAGCCTGATTGCCTCTAAACGCCTCTGCCTTGGCCCCTGGCCTAAGCCGCAGTCTGGTCTCCCTCTGCGGGAGGTGATCTGGCAGATCAGGGGAAGGGGCCGCCCCCATTACCCTGCTGCTGCTGCCACTGCCAGCCTGAGCTTCAGCCCTTCGCAGCCACTCACGGCTGCCTGAGTCTGGGCCCTTCACAGCTGCTGCAGCTTGTCCGGAAGGTCGTCCAGAAGACATCCACTCTAATTAGCATATTACCCTTTTATTAGTACAGATGTCCTAGCTAGCAATGGGCTGGTAATGTTTAACAACCAGCTGTCTTAAGAAAAAGCCCTGATTTTGTGGTGGCATTTTCCAGTTTCTGTGGTGTAAATACTTTCACCCTGGCCAAGTTCCATCTGTCAATATGATCCTCTGCACACACAATTGGGAATAGATGTGAGCATCTGACACAGGTGTACATCCATGAAACCCTGTTAGCAAAGGTAATGAAGATGCCCACTCCACCATCAAAAGTTTCCTTGTTTCTCTTATAAACCCTCTAGTTATTCCTCTTGTTCCCAGGCACTGACTGGCTTTGTTAGTATAGATTAATTTGAATTTTCTAGAATTACATAAAAATGGACCCATCCCATATATGTACTTTTTATCTTTCATCATTTGGCGACTATCCACATGTGTGCATCAATAATTCATTCCGTTTTTATTGCCGAGTATTCTGTTGTATGGACGTACCATCATTTTCCACCTGTTGATTAGTATTTGAGTTTCCAGTCTTTGGCTTTTACAAATAAAGCTTCTTGTATAAGTTGTTCATTTCTCTTGAGTTAGGTATTTAGCATTGGAATGAAATGGTGGGATCATACATGTATTTCACTACCAAATTGTTTTTCAAAGTGATCGTGCTGTTATACATCACTACCAGCAGTCTCTCAGAGTCCCACTGTGCTCCACATCCTCACCTACACTTGGCATGGTTAGTCTTTTTACTGTCATCCATTTTAATGGGCATGTAATGTTTTCTTGTGGTTTTAATTTGTATTTCCATAATCACTAATGACGCTGGGTATCTTTACTTATCTGCATATCTTTGGTAAAGTTTCTGTTCATATCTTTCCCCCATGTAAGTATTGTGTTATTTACCTTTTTATTATTATGAGTTCTTTATATACTCTAGATAAAAGCCTTTTTTCAGATATTATGTTTTGCAAATTTATTCTCTAAGTCTGAGAAAAAGTCTTCGTTTTCTTAAAACTATTGCTTAAAGAACAAAGATATTTAATTTCATGAAGACTGATTAATACTTTTTTCTTTGAAGTTTGTCTTTTCTGAGTTGTATTTATGTAAATATATTTATGTATTGCATAAACCACCAAATCCAAGGTCACTAAGACTTTATCTTATACTTTTATTTTTTAAAATATTTTATTATTATCTGTGTACATATTTTAACATTGCCCTCTCCCTCCCCAGATTTATCTTATACTTTATAATTTATTTTCAGTTAACTTTTGTATATGGTGTAAGAATCAAGATGTTTTATTTTATTTATTTGTTTGGCCTATGGTTGCCTGTTGCTCTAGTACCATTTGTTGGAAAGATTATCTTATGCCCGTTGAGTATCCTTGGCTCTTTTAGGAAAAGTGAATTGACCATATACATCTTAAGTCTATTTTTGGACTCTGTTTTATTTCATCAATCTATTTGTCTGTCTTTACACCAGTAACTAACTGTGTTGATTACTGTGGCTTTCTAATAGATTTTTTCCTCCCTCAAATATGTCTTTATTGATTTCAGAGAGGGAAGAGAGAAATAGAAATGGTAATGATGAGAGTCATTGTCTGTGTGCTGCATGCTCCACACTTGCATTCAATGAGCAGGCAACCTGGTCATGTGCCCTTGGCTGGACTCGAACCTGGGATCCTTTAGTCCTCAGGCTAATGCTCTATCCAGTGAGCAAAACCAGCTAGGGCTACATTCCCTTTTTCTTTTCTTTTTTAAAAACATATTTTATTGATTTTTTACAGAGAGGAAGGGGGAGAGAGAGAGCCAGAAACATCGATGAGAGAGTCATCGATCAGCTGCCTCTTGCACGGCCCCCACTGGGACGTGCCGCAACCAAGGTACATGCCCCTGACCGGAATCGAACCCGGGACCCCTCAGTCCGCAGGCCGACGCTCTATCCACTGAGCCAAACCGGTTTTGGCCCCTTTTTCTTTTCAACAGGCTTCTAAAAGTAGTCGAGAGTGTAACCAAGTGATCCAGAGAACGGACATCATTTGCCCCTGAAGTTCCCAGGTGTGGAGAGGGCGCAGGACTGTGTAGCACCACATGATGGTCCCATCATGCCGTGGGCCCGGCCCAGCAGTTCCTAAATTCCTGGTAGAACTGTCCTCGTTGTGGCTGGGTGTTGCCTGCCCTGAGGGTCCCTGCTCTTTTGGGGTCTGTGTTTGCCTTGCTCTTGCCCTCACTGCCTGTGGGGGTGCAGGGATGCAGAGTCTGTGGCTCCTCGGGGCTTGATCTAATAAGTCTTAAAGTCAGGTAAGATTAGTCCTCTAACTTTCTTTCCCCCCACATTGTTTACAGACTATTCTAAGTTCTTTGTATGTACATTTCAGAATCAGGTTGTAAATTTTTACCGTGAAGTCTCTAGGGGTTTTATTGGGATTGCATTGACTCTTTAATGCAGTTTTGTGGAAAATTGCTATTTTAACAGAACTGACCAACAGACCATGAACATGAGATGTCTTCTCAGTTATTCAGGCCGCCTTTAATTTCTTGTAATACCTCTGTCAGGTTTAGGTCTCGGGGTCTGCTGCCCTCATATGATGACCTAATTTGATAAAAATTCAATTCTTTTATTTTTGCTTTTCCCTTTCCTTTATCACTCTATGTCATTCTGTGATTCACTTTATCTACTTTATTGGTCTTTGTTGTGTTATTTTAATTGCTGTTTTCGGGTTTATACATCCTTAATATGAGTCTTTTCCTCAGGCACACACCTACCAATTGGCATGTAAGAATATTACAGTGTACTTCATTTCACTTCTCCCTATGTAAATTGTCATACTTCAACATATGAACCCCATAATAATACAATTTTTATTTTAAACAGTCAGTAATCTTTTAAAGAGCTTTTAAAAAAGTGTACTATACATTTAACAACATATTTACTATCTCTAGTACTATTTTGTGTAGACCTATTTCTGCTTGAAGGAATTTTTTTTTTTTAGCATTTTTTTTTGTACTGTAGGTCTGCTTGGTGATTTTCAGCTTTAGTGTGTCTGAAAAGGTTTTAATTTTGCCTTCATTTTAAAGAAACTATACTGATTATAGAATTCTAGACCCCTCTCCCCCCACAACACTTAAATTTGCTGCTGTATTATGCGCTGGCTTGTGTTCCTGGAGTTCTTATTCTTTATTCCTCTATGTAATTTATATATAACATCGCCCAATTTTACCTTTGAGAATGTGATAGCTGATTAAAATTAACCCTGAATTTGATCCACTTGAAGTGGGAGACTATTGCCATCTAAGGCACTAAAAATGTTTTAACTCATTGCCCTGTACTCCCTGACTTTCTAATGAGTTAGTCAATTTTTTTTTTTTAAACTTTTAAGTCTGGTATTGCATGTTGGAATTTGTCACCTGAAATTTAGATAAGCTAACTCATTTAGGTAATTTAAGTGACTTCCTTACAGAGATGGTAATGTATGGTGAAATATATCTGTGTGTGCTGCTTGACTCTGACCCAGCTGTTTGAAGTGGAGAGCTAACAGATATAGGTGTTGTATTGGTTGCAGATGAAGACATTCCTAACATTGCAGGGTTTAAAAAGACTTAGTAGTCAGTTTGTGACATCAAGTGGGTTTTTAGGGAAGGACTCCTTGCTGCACCAAAAGGTCTGTGCAGAACACTAGTGTACCAAGTGAAAAAGGGCTCAGACAAGAGGGTGGGTGAAAACTAGTGCTCTCCTGCCGCTAGTTTTGTCTTTCACGCTGCCTCTTCTGGAGAGGTCTGGTGGCGAGTAGGCTTGACGAAGCCAGAGATGGAAAGGGAGATGTGCCTTCTATGGTGTCTGCACTGACCAAACACATGGTCAGTGCTATTGGCTTCATGGACTTTTCTCCTTTGTGCCTTATCTTTGTGTTGTAGTTGTGTGTATGAAATTATCTTCATTTAACTATTTCTTGAATGAAGATTGGAGAACAAAGCTAGTTGTGCTGTAGTGTACCCCCATCTTACAAAGGACACCTCAAAAAGTCGAATTACGGAGTCATTTATTAAAAGCCGGCGGCTTACAAGGGAGCAAAAGTACTCCAGACCTCGCAGCCTCGAACAGCTTGCCACATCTGGCTTATATTGGCAGAATATCAGAAAGGTATCGATTACATCTTTGGGTCTGGAATGAGGAACCTGTTTTGCGAAATAAAAGCATTTTTACAGAAGCGAGATGAGCAAGTTATCTAAAATATAGGTTTTGGGTCTACAGAAACACATTATTTTGGACCACCATGGCAATTTGGAATAATTGTGCTGTCCTGATTCTGGGATCACCAAGTCAACAGGAATGCACTATCTGTAGCTACTGAGACAATTTGGGATAATTTGAGTTGTCCTG